GCACATACAAGTAGTACTAGTACTAGTACTAGTACTACTACTACTAGTACTACTAGTACTACTAGTACTACTAGTACTACTAGTACTACTACTACTACTAGTACTACTACTACTACTACTACTACTATTCCCCCCCCTGCTTCTGTCGTCTGCATTAGCTCAGGAGTACGAAATGTATCTGGTGTTCAACGAGGCAAAGGTCACCAAGAGCATGACGGATGAAAAGGAGGACACATTCCGGGCCTCAGGAGGCTTCAATGCCCAGCAGACCAAGGCAATGTTGCTACTCGTCGAACAGCTTATACCCTGAACCCCGTTATATATCCCACATCTAGCCGTTTATACTTACGTGGTTCATCTCAGGGCGGCCACGCAGCAGCCGGATACGAATCTACTTGCAAGCAGTGGACCATCGCAGCTTGTGCAGGGTGCCGCCAATCCTGGGCAGCAGAATCAGCAGCAGAAGGAGAACAAACCGAAGCCGAAGCCGAAGAAAGAACCGAACTTCGCTACCAAGGCAAGTGCCAAGATCAAGTCAGGACGAAGCACCGTTACGGATGGCAACTATTGGAAGCGAGTGATTCATGAAGATGGACAAACTCAGAAGCCCAAGGCGAATCTCGCCTTATGCATAGCTCTACTCCTCATCTTACTAACTAGCTACGTATACCTAGCTTAGCGGCCTGGATTCTTCGGAGGCTCAGCTACAGCAGGGCTCGCGGATTGGAGGCTTTAGGTTTTCAAGGGGCATTTGGGTTTAAGGGCGGTTGGTTGAGGATTTCGGAATCAAGGAGTGGGAATCAAGGACTCGGGGCACTAAGGGGACTAGGCCTAGGCTTGATTGAACAAGTTGCCTAGACCTCAATCTTCGCTGAACCCTTCTATATCCCCAGAGCCCACCCCCCGATCCGGAATCCTAGTGTTATTTTGATCTGTCGGTCCCGAGGTGTTGACCCTACCCGGTTCCACCCTAGGCAGCTATATGTCCGTGCGAGGAATAAATTAAAGACTGCAGACTTTCGTCAACAACCCCCCTAAACCCTAAACCCCAAAACCTTATCACCCAAACGCAATCGCAAAAACCCAGGTCCAAGCAGATGATTGATGGCTACATTAGTCAGATCGACTTCCACATAGCCCCGGTCCAAAACGCCACGGATGCTTTGGATATGAAGGTTGTCGAAGGCTCGAAGGACGAGGCCACGCTCAAGCCCATGATGGATACCTTGCAAAGTGCCATCGACGACTACACTGCTGCGATCAAAGCCATCAAGACTCTGTATGCATTTTGACTTACTGCTAGCTATAGTTATTAAGCTTGAGTTTACTTGCAAATTGGTTATACAGGTTTCGCGGGATCGCATGTGCATGCTTATATGGGCATCCTGAAACAATCATCGTGTACTCGTCACAAGGTCGAGCCCGCCCCGAAGAAGGCTTCCGGTGCGAAGTCCAAAGCCAAGAAGTAGTGAGGTGGAGTGTGAGGGAGCACTCGAGCCTTGTTATGAGTCAGCAAGGGCAAATGTGTGACAGTGCACACATTTGTACACTGTTGTGGCTGCAGCTGCATCTAGACCCAATACGCTATCTCACCCATATCTGTACGTCTTGATGGTTGACATATAGCTACCCCAAATTATATATCAGAGTATCGTCGAATTGTGGTCTATGGCAGCATGTTGGCCTTAGTCCTGCAGTGTTCCCGTTGCTAGGCTGGCCGGGTTTTGTTTTGCATACAGGCCTGCTCCTCACAGCGAGTGTGGTGCACGCCTCGAGGCTATCGATGTCTACGTGCTACATGTAGCTAGCAATTTATTATAATTGCGAGGCCGGCAAGTGCCTCCGAGAAGGGTTCGCGAAACATGAAGGGACTACGTCTCAGTACATTCCGTGGGTGATCCTGCACATGATTGGGGCGAGAACAAAAATACGCGATCGTACTGCAACTGCATGATCATGACTGCAAGTGTCGACGTTGATGAGCCTAGTGATGCTACCGACTGCTAAGCTGCCCCTCGCAGGCGAGCTGCCGAGAGATTCTTCATTGCACGACAGATTGCAGACGATGATTTGTGCCGGGGACTGTTGCTTGCAATATTTAAACCCTAAGCCCTAAACCTTAAACCCTAAACCCAAAACCCTTAAACCCCAAACCCTAAACCCAAAACCCCAAATTCCTATAAGCAACCATATCCATATTCAGCCGCATACAAAAAAAACAGATTGCAGGAACTGAGCTATGCCTCTGCACAAAGGGTGGCTCTTGCTGCCATTGAGGACGGAGATGTTACCCGATCACCCTAGCTATCCTAATAACCCCCTAAACCCTAGCAGCAACCCTATCCTGTTGCCAAGCTGCAATCTGCACGCCAGCAGGATTATGAATGCAACGATGTGCAACCTGGACGAGGGCTGCTTGGTTTAGCCTCTGCTGGAGCATGTGGCGAGCACGTGTCCAACATCGAACGGGATGTTTTACGACGATCCAGCCCTTCCAAGGCCTATCGATCTACGCATAGCCCAAAACCCCGAGCCCAAATTAATGCCCCATGACCGATCCTAACAGGTGCTGATTCGGCAGGTGCCTGTACCGGTCCGAAGGAAGTTTCGAGGAACCTGGATAGTGGAGGACCGGATCCTAGTCTACACTATGACCTATAAAATCCCTAAGCTCTAAACCCAAAGCCCTAAACCGAAATCGGCTAGCTGTTCATCCGAGGCCTATGCCAGTCGTGCTACCGCATGATGTGCTCAATGCTCTTCATCAAGAAGGACGGCTACCGAATGTATGCCCTACCTCCGAATTGGAACAGTACTGGAAGCACTTCGGATCCCAGCAGCTCCCTTGGGCCGCAAATGTGGCCCCGGACGCCGTGCCATTGGGGCTTCATGGAGACGACGCCCGCTACACCGACACCGGGGCGAAGATAATAGCTATGTCTTTGAACTGCCTCCTTGATCCTGTTCAAGATCGATGGCCACTAGTAATTATTCGTGCCGCTACTTGGTTGCAGTTGCATGCTACCTCTTATGAGCTCGAGATCAACATGCTGTCGGATTCCTAAACTCAGGCTCTGAGCACCGGCTTCCCGACGCTCCAGGCATACCTCCGGCCCGTCACTAGGCTCTATAGCTCGCTTGAATCCCATATTATAATTGGTTTGGGCTTTAGGGTTTATTGGGTTTACTTGGAGTTTAGGGTTTCGGGTTTTGGGGTTTAGAGTTAGGGTTTAAGGGAGGTTAGGGTATAGGCCGGCTTTATAATTATAAAGCTTTATAAGGGTTTTAGTGTTGATTGGGGTTTAGGGTTGTACAATCAGCCGAGATCGCCGCTTCGTTCAACTACCTCTTTGTGGGTGTTTGTCCGACATACCTGGATGTGGTCACTATTCTACCGGAGGATGTGAGCACGGAGCCAAAGGAAATTGAAGGGTCTGGCGAGGTCATGACACTTCCAAGGGCTGCCCTCACGGAGTTCAGGGCAGACTGGAAGTTTCACAAGGCAGCTATCTATAGGGTGCATTCGTCGACGGTTTTTTTTGCTGTACTCTTATAAATTATAATATAATACCGAAACAATCAACTAAAATTGTTTTAGTGGTCGAAACCATGGGTAGGAACTATTTAACCTCGGTGCCGGTTGGAACTGTGGCTCTATCTGTCACCAATGCTTTGGTACGGATGCATCATATCTGGTTTTTCCGTCGCAGCTACGACACCAACGACGCCGCACGCTTGCCGACTTCGCAGATGTGTGCAAGCCACATAGGGGTGTGAAGTGAAACCTTGCTATTCAAAATAAATGTTTTGGTTGTTTTGCCCCCCCCCTTTAAACTCAATCGTTTCTTGAAAGCAAAGCTCGAAATAAATGATCAGGTCACCTGCTCAGGGTGCACTACTTCGACCACTCTAAGATCAAGTATTGCACACTCCACACGCTTAACCTCGGTATGTGTTTGTGGACCGCAGGGTCTGTTCTGCTAGAGCTTCTCAAGTACGAGGACCGATATCGTGCACGTGCATACTATACTGGCCCATTCGATATCATGTGATTGTTGGAACATCCGATTCTGCAGGATTTCTGGGCGGCTCCTCAGGGCACGCGAGCTGCTGATCGTATGAATGTGCGATTAGCTTTGGCTTACGAGGACTTCGTGACCTGGGCCCGGGCGAAGAAAGTGGAGCTAGCTAGCAGCACTATTCTATCTTTTAAGTTTTTTTGGCTCATTATACGTTTCATTTTGATTAAATATTCCCCCAGGCACTCGCAACCAGAGTTCAAAGCTCGATATCTACGGGATGCCACCACGGGCTACGCAGAGATGAGTATGAAAGGGCACAATGTTGCCTAGCAGCTGATTTTAGATTTGTGAATATGATGAGTCGAGTCGGTCATGATCAATCGATATCGATAATATCAGGCTCGAGTGGTGACCGGCTGGTTGTCTGATCTTTTGATCCAGCTCCATGCCGAACGTGTGGACATGCACTCCGATCGAATGAAGCTAATGGTGAAAACTGTGCAGCTTGGGCAGCATGGCATATTATTACTGCTAGGTGTCCTATACAGCTAGGTGCCGTAAGCTGTCGACTCAAACTTGTATGCTCAGGTTTTGGCTTGGAGAGTTTTTCAACCGGATGGAGAAGTATCCCCGTTACATGTGTCTCGAGGAACGAGAAGGGCTCTGTGAGGCATGCGAATCTTGGTATGCACAGATTTGGGTACATGTGCTTCGCGAGCGATTTTGCCGAGTCGAGGACAGGTGCTGTCTGGCATACGCAAAACTGTCCGAGATGGCCGCTCAGAATGACGAAAGACTGTGGATCCTCCGGCCCAAGATCCACGTCGCTTTAAAGCAAGCAATCCGGGATGCATGTGTTTTCGTACGTAGTGCTTGCATACCATGACCTATCTATCGATACCATGATCACATGAGGTCTTTCAAGAGATCTGCCACATGGCATGGGTCGATGGCCGCTTGGACCCATGTTTATTTAATTCTTTGTTCGGTTCCGACGGTACCAGGCGAATTTTCGACAGACTGCATGCTTTAATAAGGCATGAACCCGAAGTACTGTCACACGTCCCGTGACGAATCCTACATGTCGACCGCAAAAGGCCTGCTGGGATTCGAGGGCTTCTGAGGGAGCTAGAGAGACACAGTACTGTGTGTTTGTGTGTCCCTGTGCAGCCATCTCACGAATGTGCCATCGCCATACGCTGGAGAATAGCTTCTTTCGGCGAGTGTACAAGCAGTGGCCTGTCCGCACGGTGGGTTTGGCTTGCATGTGCTATGTGATGTCGATCTGTACATGTACATCTAGCTACAAAACCGTGCTATACTCAGGTTTCCGCACGTGCCGTAGATCACGACGATCAAATTCGAAATTCGTTGCCCCTGGGACTGCAGTCAGATCAGGCATATGGTGCACATGCTCGAGCATCTAAGGCAAAAAATTCGATATATGCCAGATCAGCGAGCTCATGCGAGTGCAAAATCCTTCGACTCGGGGGTCCATGTGTCCACAGGGGGGTCGCCATGTATCGATCCTTTCTCATTATATAGTTATATTGTAGCGATAACCTCCTCTGGAAGGAATTATAGCCCGAAATGCTTCACGCATGGCTTGGCTACAAAAGCACTTAACTATTAGGTCCTTTGGACCCTCAGGGTACTGGCTTATTCCAGGGCCCACTGTTCCGTGTTCCCCACCGTGCCCGCGTTGCAATTGCAAACCAACTGCGTCAATCTAATACCGAAGGCATGACGCGCCATGCCCAGCCCATACACCCATAACCAAAAGAAACCGAATCCTTCTGTGGATGACATGAAACCTGCATTACCTTAAGGACCCTAAACTATGGGAATTGTGGCATGTTCCTTATTATGGGTAATGCAGGATTTATGTCATCAACCGTTTCATAAGCACGGGACCATGAATTCTGCTAGACCCTCAACCCGAAACCCTAAGCACTCCTCCTGATCGGATACTTTCTCATCCTTGCCACCACCTGCGCGGGACTCACACAGGGCACGGGATCATGCAGTTCAGGGCTTCAGGGCTTCAGGGTTTGGGGGTTTAGGGTTTAGTTTGGCGTTTAAGGCTGTAGGGTTAACTTAATTCATCTCTTTTTAGGCCCCTGTTGTGTTAATTTTTGCGGTGAAGGGCTGCAAAGTCGGAATGTCTTCTGAACCGGGGCAAGGTTTTGAAAGCACCGGCAATGCTTCTGCCACGTCTCGGAACCATGAACCTGCCCCACTGTTCTTTGCTCCCTATGCCCAAATCCCCCAAACCCCACAAGCCTAAACCCTGCAACCCTAAACCCGAAACCCTCAACCCTAAACCCGAAACCCTCAAACCTAAACCCTAAACCCTCAACCCTCAACCCTCAACCCTCAAACCTAAACCATAACTACACCCTAAAACCTCAAACCGAAACCCACCTCAAACCGAAAAGCTTCGTCGGGAGCTCATCCAGACTGGAACCAGTTACGGTCGCACTCAAGCAGGGTTTGGGGTTCAGGGTTTAGGGGTTTAGGGTTTATAGGGTTTGAAGTCAGGCCCTAAAATTCGTATGAGCTTCTTACCGTTCTTGGTATCACGAATTTGTTTTTGTTTCTTTCACAGTGGCAGACACTGCGCAGGTTAAACCCTAAATTCGTATGTGCTGGCTATCGTTTGTCGTATCACGTAATACGCTTTATTACCAGCAGTGCTAGTCAACCTTTTCGAATCAAGGAGAAAATGGCCTTGAACCACTAAACCACGAAGGTGCCTTTCAAGCACAAAATCCGTCAACTTTTGTGGTTAGACCGTTTAGTGTTTAGAGGTTGCTGCAAGCTACGTGGTGGACTCGAAGCAGAAAACCAGTCAACTTTTCTGGTTAGACCCTTTAGTGTTTAGATGTTGCTGCAAGCTACTGGATGGACAAAAAAAATTGTCAACTTTTGTGGTTAGACCCGTCAGTGTTTAGAGGTTGCTGCTAGCTACATGATGGAGTTAAAGCACAAACTCCGTCAACTTTTGTGGTTAGACCCTTTATTGTTTAGAGGCTGCTGCAACTCAAAGCAGAAAATCCGTCAACTTGTGTGGTTAGACCCTTTAGTGTGTAAAGGCTCCTGCAAGCTACTTGGTGGACTCAAAGCAGAAATCCGTCCACTTTTGTGGGTTAGACCCTTGTGTTTTGAGGTTGCTGCAAGCTACTAAATGGACTCAGGCCGGCCTTAAACCACGAAGATGCCTTGGCCTTGACCACAAAATAGGATTGGCCCTGAACCGCGAAGGCTTGCCTTCATGGTTCAAGGCAAAACTGCCTTAAACCACGAACGATAAGCCTTGAACCACGAACGATTGGCCCTGAACCACGAACGATTCGCCTTGAACCACGAAGTCATCAAAGCTTGAAGAAATATGTGATGATAGAGAGGTTTACGGGTTTAGGGACTTCGGGGTGTGGGGTTTAACATTTGCAGGGTTTGCAGGGCTTAGGGTTTAGCAGGTGCGCCTGTTCGGGGCTGCAGCTCCTTCTCCAGAACGCCAAGCCTGGGTGAACTTCGTGGCTTCTTGCGGGTTTTTAAGGAATCGGGGAATCGGGTTTTAGGGTTTAGGTTTTGAAGGATTCGGATTGCGGTCTTGTAGTTTAGGCTTTTTCGGGAAACTAAGCCAAGGATAGAAAGCCAAAAAGATTCTAAAGTTCTCCCCGTTGGCTCTCTAAGTCAGGGTCCAGGATTTTAGGGATTCGGGTTGAGGCTCTTGGGTTTCTAAGGATTCGGATTGAGAGTTCATTTGGGCCTTTAGGCAAGGGTTTAGGGCTTTGGGGTTTAGGGTTTAGGGGTTTAAGGGTTTAGGGGTTTAGGGGTTTAGGGTTTAGGACTTAAGGGTTTAGGGCTTCAGGACTTAGGGGTTTATACGGTTTAGAGCATTGGAGCTGTCGGGCTTCACGCTTTACGATTTCGGGTTCAGGCGTTGGGGTTTTCACGCTCGTTTTCGGCCGAAATGAATGCGCAATGTATTCGCTAAATAGAGGTATCGTTATAAGGGTGAGGCAAGGGCCTTAAACAGCTTTACGAGGTTTTTGTGGGCATTTCACGCAAGAGGCGCAAGAGGCTTAAAGATAGGGTTCGGGTCCTGCTACGCGGGCGTAAGTTTCAGTGTTGTGGCCCAGGGTATACGCTTGAGATTTAGGGGACTTTCCGAAAATTAGGGTACCTTATTTTGGGGTCCTTATAATAAGGATCCTGCTCTTTAGGGTACTACATTAGGGTCCCCTATTTTCAGGCCTCAGGCGGTGTCATACTGGGGTCTAGGATTCCCTCGCTGCACTCTGACAACCACCAGTTGATAGACACGACTTGGCAAGCCGATGGTAGAGAAACCTAAAATGCAACATCTTGTCCCACAAGTTGCTGATTTAGGGTGTGGCTTTGTTTCCGCCCGGTTTCAGCTGATTTTCAAACTTGTTTCTACTTGTCGTCTGACTTTTCTGCTTTTCTGAGTTTCATCAAGGACTGAGCTAAACCCTAACCCAGAGACTCCAATATCCCTTAATTAGGGAATATACCTTAAATCATATTAGGGATCCTACTATAATTAAGGTATATTCCTTAGCTAAGGGATATTGGAGTCTCTGGGCAACCCGAAACCCAAAGCCCCCGCCCCGCCCTCCCTTTGCACTGCCAGCGGGCCCGCTCTTCCCCCCACCAGCCGCCTCCGCCAGGTTTGGTTTCAGGTTTGTTTTGCAGGTTTTGTTTCAAGCTTTGTTTGTCAAGCCATGCGAGTGAGGGATTTAACCCTACTCCGCTTAGACATTAAGTGGTAGGCAAAAACATGTTTGTTGTAGATCCCTATATACAAGTAACGACAACCCCAAAAGGGTGCAGGGTTGATGGTCTAGGGTTTCGGGTTTAGGATATAGGAACAAACCAAAAACGTAATGCAGTCAAGAGCCTAAATGCAAAACCCTAAACCATGAACCCCAAACCCTACTAAACCCTAAACCCTGAACCCTAAACCCTAAACCCTGAACCCAAAACCCTATTAAACCCTAAATCCTAAACCCTGAACCCTAAACCCTATAATCCCTAAACCCGTAGTTTACGCCGAAACCCATCTGGGCGCTCGGCAGCCCCTTCAGGAGCTTCTCAGGCGAAGGCCTGGCTCTTGAAATGGGTAAGACGGTTCTGGTTCCCTGTTGGGGCTATATTAAACTTTTTCATTCTTAATCCTTATTGGGTTTGTACTATAGCAAAAATGTAAAATTGTAGCCAACAAGGATCTAAGGTTAAGACTGAGGGGAGGCGTTGGGGCTTAGAGGGTTTAGGCCGTCAACCCTAAACCCTAAACCCTAAAC